TCACTGTCTCTGATAAATATGCTTATCTTATTTATAAAATGGAAAACTCCCCCAAAACCATGGAATTAAATACTGGAGACAGGAATAAATTAAGAGCTAATCTGTTATCATTTATAGCAATTTTCATTGTTTTTTTTTTTTAAGAGTTATGGCAGCAATCTCTCTAGTTTCACCAGATATTGCTTGTGTCTCACCTTTGCTATTTGCTACAATTCCTTCCAGATGATGATCACTGGGTAGTGGACACAGATTATGATACCTATGCTCTTCATTACTCCTGCCGCCAGCTGAATGAAGATGGCACTTGTGCTGATAGCTATTCCTTTGTGTTCTCCCGCGACCCCAAGGGATTGCCTCCAGAGGCACAGAAAATTGTCAGACAAAGGCAGAAGGACCTTTGCTTAGACAGAAAATACAGAGTTATTGTTCATAATGGTAAGAACATTTTTTTCTGAAGAATATTGTTTCAGGGTTTGGTGACTAAAGCACTAGGAGTCAATTGTTCATTAAATAGCAAATACATTAAGTCTTTTAGTTAGTGGCTGTAATATTGTCTTTTGAAAACTGGAACTTGTAGTAAGTTATTTCCAAACTTTTCTTCCCATATCTGGAGGAGAGCTGAGGTGTATAGCTTTTTATGCGGCACATCACATCACCTGAAACAATAATTAGAGGAAGTTGTAAAACATTATATCAATGTAGTATGAGTAAACATAGTAAGGATAAACTTCATAGTTGCTGTAAAAAGAAGTTGTATCTCTTTGACCAGATCTCTTTGTCTTTCTCAACAAAATAGTTGTTGAATAGAATGTATTTTCAAAAACTTCTTTGACAAATTCTTCATAAAAGGATTATAAGTAAAATCAGATGTCTTGGAAAGGATACCTTTTAGCAGACCCTTTCTCACATATCCTCATGCCAACTGTTTCACGAAGGGTGGTGGAAGAGAGACACAGCCTTCATACTGGTAATATGAGCCTATCTTGAATCACATAGTCAGGCTGAGCTTGCAACACAGGGAAGGATACAGATTAGCTCACTTCTGCTCAAAAATATTAGAAAAGGCCAAATAGTAATTTATGCTACTTTAATTGATGATCCAGAAGAAAACTTAATATACTTACTGATAGAGATTACACCTAAAATGAGAAATAGTGAAGAATGGAGAGGCCATAATATTTAGAAGAAATAAAATAGTTGTGTACCCACCCCTACCTCTACCCCTAGCATTCTGGAAGACACAATATCTACAGAAGACTTGACTGGTGAACCAGCTGAATGTGAACTCATATGAGAGTGTTGTGTTTTATACCACAGGATATATATATGTTTCCCCTGGAAAGGATACTGAGGTTGAGTTAGAAGCTTCAAAGAGCAGAGAAAACTTGTTAAATGTTTCTTCTAGTGAAGGCTTCAAAGATCTTGATCTTTTCTCATCAGAAACAGGTTAAAGGCTGACCTGAGCAAAGTCTGTGCTTGCCCACACAAGCAGTGGGAATTGGATAACAAAGAACTTGCAAACATAGGGATAATAAATTAAAATAGATGGAACTTTAAAAAGGACACATTCAGAGCAGAAATAAATAGCCATTTGTTTAAGTCCAAAGGTCATTAACCTTTGGAACAGTTTACCAAGAGCTGTTGTATGTTCTTCATCACTGAAATCTGTAAATCAAGATTAAAGGCTTTTCTAAATGACATGTTAGAATAAACTGGGATTGACTGAAGGAACTTTTGTGTATTGTAAAGAAAGTCATAACAGATGAGCACAGTCAGCTCTTGTGTCTCTATTACCTGTTCATCTGCTCTATAAACAAAGAGTAATATATTGCCATGTTGTAAAGTAGGTATGCTGATAACAGGGTGCCTGAAAGATCTGCTAAGATGGGTATTTAGAATACTGATTAGTGACCTGGAAAAAGTGCTTGACAACAATGGAAACAAAACTTCTGTCTTGAATGAGAATCTGGAGACAGTATAAAAGACAGATGACATTTAAGGCACTCAAGACTAAGAGACACAAAATGCAAATGAAATTGGCTTTTGTGAATGATATCTATGATTGCGTAAAGGGTAGGATAGAAAAGAAACTATGTTATTATATAAATTGATACTTTCTCGTTTTGAATGCCATATTCACTGCTCATTTCAAATAAACTACAGTGAGAATAAAAATTTCTCAGGATGAGAAAACAAAATAATGACATAATTAGGGATGGTTTTGTATTAAATATAAGGTGAAGTGTAAATATACAGATGTTGTGCTGTGATTTTGAGAGGTGTGTGCTATGGTGATTCTTTGCATTTCTGCCAAACCCAGGAAAAAATATCCCCCCGTAAAATCAGGAGATTGGGCTAGTTCAGGTACTGGCCTAATTCAGCATGGTGGAATCTGTTTTATCTATTATTTCTGCACTATACAAGGCTTGCAAGACAATAAATGTATTGTCAATCTTTGCAAGCATAAACTGAGAAGAAATGCTCACTATACTGGTTTATTCATAATTTGTGATATAACTTGTTCAAATGTCTCAGAATTTCTATATAATTGAATGTTTGGTGTGTTTTTTTCCCCACGGAATATAAAACCAATACTGTAATTTAAAAATGAAAGTTCAGAATGTCTTTTGAAAGTTCAGTCCTAAATGTTCTTTGACTTGCTAACCTTAAAAGTTGGTCATGATGCCTCTAATTTGTTATGGAAATAATCAAATCTGCCAAGTTGCACTGAGTGCTGTGTTCTTTGTCAGCTATCCTGATTTATATTCAAATGTTAGGTGTTACTGTTTGTCAATGAAAAATAGCAGCCCAGGTCCTTAATGCTGTCTGCTTTTTATTGAGTTTATCTTTATGAGCCCAGCACCAAAGATTAAATGAAAGTTAAAGCCAGCAATTTGCATTTTTCCCTTACTGTAATCAGAACCTGTAATTACCATAGTGTTGGTTGATTCTGAATTATCCACTATCATTAACCCAAAGTTTCTGCAAAGCAAGAACATTTGGGAATGAGAGAATGATTGTGAGCCAGACTGAAAAAAACATGTATTGAAAGTTTATATCAGAAACTCTTATAAAATCCCTGAATTCCTTAGGAAGCCCTGGTACTTTAGTTTCCATTCTGCTATTAAGAGTTACAGAATTAGTAGCAGAAAAAGCCAATTTCAATTGTCTGTACTGACCTGCATTCAGTTGTTACTGTGGTAAAATTCTGACTAAAATTCATAGATGCTGCAAGAATAGGCTTGTATCTGTTTCTAACTGTGCATATTCAATGACTTGACACTAATTTCTCCCCCCACCCCCAAGATTTTTCATTACCTTTTTAAATTAATGCTGTACTCAAAGAACTTCAGTTCCCCCAAAAGTCAAGCAGATGTACAGAACTTATCCTGCTGGGAGAAAAAAATCTAAAATACTTATTCTTTGTATAGTGGCTAAGGCAGAAGCTTAGGAAATGATGAGTGTTTTGGTTGTAACTTGCATTGCATTTCTGATGGCAGCTCCTTTTGAAATATGGATCCAGCTCTGATACACTTAGTGTCTCAGAAGAAAAACTTAGGCTGCTCTGAGTTACACAAATACCAGTGTGGACATCACAGTGGGACTACATGTAAACACAATACAAAGTAATGTCAGTAGAGCTGTAAGCTGAATTTGCTGTTAGCATTTGCTAGAAGCAAAAACTGTGAATTAAAGTATGGCATATTACCTCAGCTAATTTACTGTTGTCATTAGGCATTTTGCAGGTCAGGAGAGTCTCACTTTGTTGAAAGACACTCTTAAATTAATAATTTTTAAAAGGCAAATATTTTGAAGCTTGCTAAAGTAAATAAATAACTTTTTTATCACTGGTCTATCCAGTCCCTTGTTTGCCAAAGTATTAAAATGCTCAGGACAGGTATAATAGATTGGGAGAATTCCTGTTTTGTTCCAAGTTGGAAATTCTTTGGAATTACAAACTGAGGACCAAGGTATTGGCATTAGCATTACAAGTAACAGCCTGCTGAACTCAAGAACATTTTAAAGAAAGTAGATATGTATGCATTTTAAAATTGGTGAAAGTTTGTATATTTTAATTTTGTCTGGTGTGTCTGAGAACCAACATTTTTTATTATTTTTTTTTTTTTTAGGATTTTGCTCTTAAGGAGGTCCAAAACTATGGAAAGAAACCACATAACAACACCATGGATGTAAAGTTCACACTTTGATTGGGTGTTCTCCTGAAAACCTTTTAAATGGCTTAATTTAGATTTTGAGTATATTTATCTGAGCTGTGTAGCTTATCTTGTTAATAAACTAATGAAACATTTTAATAAACTTGGATTACAGGGGATTCAAATTGTTTGTATGCAGATCTGTACATATGGAGACATTGGTTTTATTAGTAGACCATTTTCTTAATGCACTGTTTTGAATTGGTGACAAATAATCATTAAGAATTTATTTTTTCTTTTTTTTTTTTTTAGCAGTTTCAATTTCTGACTGAAGGGTTTCCATTAAAAAGAAACAAAATAAATGTATTTTAATTTATTTTCAATACAATGTCATCTTTTTTCCAAGGAAATACTGGAAATTGTTCCCAATAGCATTTTAGAAAAGAGGAAGAAATTTCAGTGACCCTATATATCATTGATCAACTTTATTATATGCCTACTGAATTCATAAAAAATATGCATCTTTTAAAAAGAACTATTTTACACACAACAAGTAAACATTTCGTTATTCCTTATTTATAAATTAGAAGGCATTATGTCCATATTTTTAATTTGAGGTGGAATATAATTGGTTATTCACTTGGTGATACTACCAATATGATGCTTATCATCTTGTTTCCTACATGAAATTGGTTAGTCTGCTCAAACCTGTGTTCAGGCAGTCAGTTTTCTAAGTGTATAATCAAGTGCCTGTTTTAAATGGGATTGAATAAAAGAGAGATACTTTCTGAGGATGTATATATTCACTAGAAAGTTAATCTCCTACTCAGTAGAAAGTAAAAGAGTAAAAATAGATCAAGTGCCCCTGATATAGATTCACTGTAACTTCATTAAAGTTAATGACATTTATGCCAACTAAAAATGTACCCTCAGAGAAATTAATTTGTCTGGTATGTACTTATTTCAACTATTTAAATACACCAAGTTAACTGCCAAATTCATATCTATTTCAGTGTAAGTGGCAAATTAAAACCATTGGATTAAATTGTCCAAATCTTACTAAGGCAAAGCAGTGAAGTCGAGAATTTTACTTTCAGGAATCAAAAATACAGATTCTAGTTTGCTTTTTTGTTTTTCCTTCTCTGGTATATAGTACTATAACATAGTGACCTATTCAACTTGGGTTAACATAGACATTAACATCAAAATTGTGTCACAGCTTAAGCTTTAAATAATTATCTGGTAATGAAAGACAGATTTGGTTGTTCATGGTTACTTCTTCTTACAGTGGTTTCTGAACCAGCCCCATGCCTTACAGGGATCCCTGTACAACAGAGAAAAATTTCCTGACATTTACGTCTGAAATGGGCAACATTATACAAAATTGGATTGACAGCAGAGTTGGCAAAAGTGAATAACACTATCCAGAAAAAAACTGATGGAAAAATAATTAAATCTTGTTTGTAGTTCTGAACTAAGATTAAAAGAATAATTATTATAATTGGGCTCCACATGATGAAGAAAGAGATCACCAAAACAACGAGGGTTCGGAATAGTTTGTAGTCTTGCTGGGAAACACGAATCTGATGATTTTCTGAGTAGGCTAAGCCAGCATTTAAACTCCTTCTTGATGCTTTTGTAATCTGCAGTAAAAGAAAAGAAAGTAACTTTCACTGAAACCTAGAAGAATTTTTAACATGTTTTTACAAGTGCAAAAGTAAATCGTAGCACATAATGTTTCTGTTTTGAAAAGTGACCACAAAAAGGCCTTCCATAATTCCATTTTACTTTTTGTCAGTGGTTCCATTTCAAACATTCTCAGTTTACTAGCTTTTTTTTCCTTTCAGCTGTGAACTCATGTCAGTATTAGTCAGGCTGGTTGATCTCCTTATGGCTTTCTTCCAAGCATACTTTTCAGCATAAAACAGAACCTTAATTACTCATGAAATCCCATTAACTTTAAATTATGACCTCATTTGTTCTATCTAAATAAACCCATTGATTTTTTTTCACAAATGCAAACTGGAACATAATGAACAATCCTATTGATGCACAAGGAGGAACGCAATCCAGTTCTCTTACAGCCATGCTGATATTATAAGGCAGGTATTAGATCATGAATTTATTACAGCAACAAAATAATGATATGTTTTAAATGTGAAAGGAATTTTACTTCAAGCTTTGTGTAAAATTTCAGTCAGTAATCAGAATTGTTCTCTGTGAACTAACCTGGAAATTTACAGATCCATTTGTCACTAAGAAACTGTGTCTCTTGTAAAAGTACAGTCCAATGTAACAAACCAGACTATGGGTAGTTTGGGAATCCAGTATTCATGGGGGTCAAACATCTGTCACCAGGTAGAATAATGAATCCCAACAGCTTGCAGAAAACTGAATCTCATGCGCTACCTCCCCATCTTCACTGAAGCTGGCATGGCACAAGTAAGTCTGTTACATTCACTTATCTGATGCAAATAAGAAGAAATCAAAATATACAGCATACAAACATTTTTGTTAAATAATTGAGATGCCATTTTATCCCCTGCATAGGGAATGAAGGGGTATTTTCAAAAACCTGGATCAATTTGGTGTAACGAAAGTAAGTAGGAAAGCCAGAAGGCGTAAGATTCTTCCTACTGCTTGTATGTGTGACATTTCCCCTTAGCAGTAACTAATGGAAGGATAACACTAATACTAGTAATGCTTAGTAGCTTCTTGGTTCAGGTAAAGATCAAAATGGTTATATCTATTTATATAGAGAGAGAGAAAGAGAGCAATTTTCATTTTTTCTGCAGTTTTCTGAATTGGTCACAGAGGGCAATGGCCTAGAATAAATATCATTAAGAACCTAGACATCTACCAAAAATTTCAAGAGAATGCAGGTGTGTAAATCAAGACCTGTGATCCAAAAATGGGCTTCTCAGCAGCTGCTGAGCCTGATAATGGAACAGTCTCAGTAGCTGCTTCTCTGATTCAAAATGGGCAGAGAATTCTGGTGTTTTCAGGATGTAAAACTATTCTAGGCTGATGATCTTCTGCTATACCCATTTGCAACCCAGAAAATAGGCTAACTCCTCCAAACAATCCAATCCAAGAGTTGGTCTCAGAGTTCACCTAACCTGTCTTAGTAAGAATGAAGGTTTCACAAAATACAAAGGACTAATATCTCCTTCTAATATAAAAGTGGGAAAAGCAAATTCTGTGCCCTGCTCAGCCTCCACTGTTCAAAATGGCCACAGTATCTGTCCCATAAAAGCATCCTCCATCTTTCCTGCTGGTGTTGTACAGCCCAGAATTAAAAATGCAAGAATCATCAGGATTGCAGTAAATAAGATGCAACTGCATTGTACGGAAGTGCTCAGCTGGCATGGGCTGGCAGGGAAATTTTTTGGATCCCTTTTTGGTCTGCATAGTATAAAGTAAGGTAGATACCTATCCTGGGCATCTGGAACACACTCTGAGAAAGAGGAGCTTAGAAACCAGGTAACTTCCAGAGCACAAATGTCTTTAGTAGTTCTAGCCTCTTATGTAAGTCTTGCCTACAAGGAGGAACAGTGCAAAACTAAATAACTACAAATCGTGGCTTCTAATCTTACCACTTTTGCCAGTGCTCTAAGAAGTGTTACATAAAAATAATAGTTTCAGATTAAAGTGTAAAGTATACATTTGTAGAGTATATTTGTTAACAAATTTGAGGTCTTACATCTGTAGTGAATCATCATAATCACAGATGCTGTATTAATTGAATACATGAATGCTCTGAACTGCTTCCAGCAACACTGAGAATTGTACTATGTGCTCACTGGCATCACAGAGTGTTCTCATGAGGTGAGAGTGAATCTGCTTTTGGGAATGACGTGGGGATTAAGACATTCTCCAGCTGAGTTCTGGTTGCTTCCTGGAGAGTGTGTGAGAGAGCAGATTCAGTTCTAACAGATGGGATCCTGCTATGGGCTCATTCTTTTCTCAGTTCAGGAGAAATGTTACCTCATCATCTGCATTACCAAGCTGGAGAAGAAATGTGAGCATGGCAGCATGGAGCTGTTTTGTAATCCAGTATTCCAAACACTTTTTCAGGCTTCTAGTTCTCTACATGCCATTTTGTTTTCTAAATTTATTTATTGTAACCTGGCATCTGCAAGGACAAGAGGTGCCCAAGGACTGTGACATTCCTGGGCCTGCAGTTTTCTGCAGTGCTTTTCATGGGCTCAGACTCCCCAGTGAGTTTTGTATCTTCTTTCACTACAGCAAATAATGAGGTTGCAAAAGGCAGGTGCTTTACCTAATGCATTTACCTCAAGCTTATAATGAGTTTCCAGCATGCACAGAAACTAAAAGCTGATGATTTTGACTACAAGTGAAAGCCTGATCAACAGGCAAGTACATGCAGAGCCCAGATTCTCGGTCCTATGTTCATGGAAACATGGACTGCGGCTCTGGTGCATGTACCCACTGCCCCTTGGTGCTCAGGATTTCATCAGTTAATTCCCTGCTCAATAATCAGTGTATTTTGTGGTTCCTTTCCAAAACCTGTAATTTTCCTTAGAGATAGTATGTGAAGTTTAATTGTCTAATATAGGAATCAAGAATCTTTTGGAAATAATTGCTAAATATTAGGCATTGCAGCTCCTAGTTTGAAGTTTTCTAGCTCTTTCCCACTCTGGTTTTGGAAGAGGAAGAAGAAATCAGATGTTTTAAAAGGAATTCAGATAACTAACATCATGCTTGCTAGATGAGATTAAAATTATTATTAGTTAGATTAAAATTCTGTGGTGCTTGGTGTCTTCGTCTACATTTCAGCAGTTAAACAACATCCGCACACAAACAAAGTGGAAGCAGATTGTTTATGTTTTTTTGTTTGCAAAGTTTGAAGTTGTGGAGGAATAAGTGTATTCTAATGAGGACTGTACTAAAAATACATGCAGAAGATCAGCAGACATAAAAGGGGATGCTTTTTTTCCTAGTCCTGCCTCTTTTTTGCTTTCTTACAAATCCCTTGTAACTCTGGAGTTCAGGCTCAAGGAAAGCAAAAGCTTGTTTTTCATTACTTCAAATGCCTGACTCTTTTAGCTTTCAGCAGATTGACAGTCTAAATATGAACAGCACATAAATGGAGAAGTGTATTAAATACTATATGTAAATTAACACAAACTTCGTGTTGGGCTTCTGGTAATGTGCTGTTCAAGCATTTGCTTAGTTGAAGGGTATAGGCTGCTACTTACTGATTGAAGTGCCTTATTTTGTATCAGTACTTACCATTCACTAAGCAAATGTCTATTATCTTTGGGTGTATATGTATTCAGTGACCATATAATGATGCCTGGTGAGTGTACTTCCCTTTGTTCTGCAACAAAATTTAAAGGAAAAACATACCTGTAGGATTTTGGAGTAACTGGTGACAATGACCAAGCCTGGTACCAGAAAGAAAACAGTGGCAAAGGTCACATCCCAAACTATTTCTCCTGCATTGCTGGGCCAAACCAAGGTGCAAATCTGAATGTCCTGTTTGCAAAGAGTAGAGAAGAAAATTAACATTGTACCACTCATTATTTTTACTACAAAGTTTTCCTTATCTCCCTCTGTGTCTACAGAGAAAAGGGCTGCAGATCGAGTTAGTGAAAAGATTCTACTTAAAGCAATTAATGTATTACTTCATGGCTTTTAAAGCCCATACAATTCCAAATAGATATGTTGTCTACCATCTAAATATTGCCACAAATTTCACACCAAATGCTAACAGCAACTTTAACATTGAAACTTCTACACCTTAAACTTGGTCATGTATTTGAGCGTTGCGTTGGGTGTACATCTGTATGTATTTCAAAACAGTAGCAGAAAAATCTGTGCATGGCAGTTTTTTCCAGGGCTGCCGCATGTTCTGGGCAGCTCTCCGTGGGTGCTGAGTCCTCGGTAAGGGGGAAACGTGCTGAAAAGAGCATCTCTGATTCCCTGCGTACTGGGGGATGCAAAACCATCCCAGGCGATGCCCAACTCCCACCTAACAGGAGGGTCCGCTGGACGGGACAGAAGGGGGCGGCAGAGGCGGGTGGGGGCACGGCCTCGTCTCCTTTCCGGAGCACGGAGCGCTGCCCGCTCCTCAGACCATTTCCCGTCGGTGACAGGAGCGGACGCGCCCCCCTCCCTGCCCCGACTCCTGACGCCTCCCGTCGCCCACTCTCCTCCGGCCCGGCCGCCCATCGCCCCGCTGCTGTGGGCCCTGCCCTGCGCTAGCCCTCACCTCGCCGGCGGCGGGCAGCCGCACCACAGAGAAGAAGCAGCAGAGCGGGAGTGTGGCGAAGGCGGCGAAGGCCCAGATGAGGAGGAGGGCTGCGGCCAGCGCCTTGCGGCGGCGGAGCGCGGCGTGCCGTAGCCGGGCGATGCTCACGACGCGCTCCAGGCTGACGGCCGATAGCGAGAGGATGACGACGGTGCCGCTGAGGCTCATCACATAGAAAAGCATGTGGCAGATGGCGTCGCCCAGCACCCAGGACTCGGTCCAGCGCACGACGGCGATGAAGGGGATGGCGGTGATGAAGAGCAGGTCGGCGCAGAAGAGGTTGAGGACGAGGCAGTTGGCAGCAGAGAGCCGGTGCTGCCGTCGCACCAGCAGGTAAATGCCCCAGATGTTTCCCGCCAAGGCCAGCAGGAAGATGAAGGCCAGGGCAGATGACTCGCCAATTCGCAGGGCTGTCACATTGTAGCCCCTGAAGTCTGAGAAGAAGGGGAAGTAGGACCTGTTCCCCCCTGGTGCACTCCTGGACCCCAGCATGAGGGTGCAGCAGGCATGAGGGACCCACCACAGGCAGCGGTGCCAGCCCTAGGGAACGGGCTGAGCTCCCAGCCACCACGGTGGCACCCGAGGTGTCCTCCCAACAAAGAGCAGGGGGCTGGCTGCCATCCCCCTCCCTCCTCTTCCTTCTGCCTGTGCAGCTGAGGACTCGGCTGTCCCAGCCAGGTGGTTTATGGCCCTTGCGCCAGTGTGGAACAAGGAAGTGGGAGGGCAAACACGGTGCGGCTCACACAAAGGCGAGGCCGCGGTGTGTGGGGAGGCAGGAAGGGGTGAGCGGGTCTCTGGCACCTCCATGCTGAGGGGCACAGGTCTGGTCACCTCCTCCAGAGCCAGCCCTGCTCTGCTGTACAGGCACGTCCCTGGGGCACCAGTGACTCAGGCCCAGCCAGCCTGCTCCCTGTGCTGGGGTCTCTACATGGCTTAAAACAGAGGGATGGCTGTCAGACCGCTTCAAGAGCTCTTCTTGGGAGCCTGGGATAACCAGCACTGCTCTGAGGTAAAAAACAAAGGAACTTACCCATCGCCTCATGTCTTGACAGTGGCCTTTTGAAACAGCAGTCCTGTGGAGGGGAAGCGTCAAAAGTGCCACTGTCTTGATTTTGGGGGCCTGTTTACTAAGCTGATGTAGAGTGTTAGCTGCCTGTTGTTATGGGTTCTTGCTGAAGAAGCCTGGTAAATGAAGACATACCTATAAAATAACCATCTTGCCTCTGGGCAATTCCTGAAAGCAGTTGCTCGAATTGTGAATGAAAGTAGGCCTTTCTGATTGCACTCTTCACTCCACATGATTTGGAAATGGTCTGGAAGTAAAGCACATAAATCGTCACAGACTGGCAGATAATGTCTCATGTTTTCGTGAAGTATGTAAACAGCTGTGCAACTGCAGGCAGCTCTGGATGTATTCATTTGTCTTGGTGCCAGAGCAGGTGCTTAAAGATACAGTTACAGGCTTGGCCACATGGAGCTACACCTTTTGATTAGGTGAGAGTTATGCCAGACCTGTGTGCCAATGGGACCAGGTGACCAGGGGGTGCTTCCATGTACTCTGGGTGTGACCCTGCCATCACCCACTTACGCAATGGCATTAGTGGGGATTCCAGATTAGGGAGATTCCAGAAACTCGGTCCTTCTACGGAACAATCTCCTAATGAGGAATGACAAGAGTGAGATCTTTGCTGGACTGCTTCCCATGTCCTTGCCAGAGCAGAACTGATTTTAATTAGCATGTTTTCTCTCGAGCTATAAGTGGTTCTAACTGTCTGTGCTGTCTCATCAAACAGGGAGTTTGGAGGGCAGCATGAACAGGTGGATGAGATGCTCCTACTAATTCTTGCTGATTGATGACCATATGAATTGTGGGCAGATCTGCTGTTAAGTGGGTGGCTGCTATGAACTATGAACTTAAATGAAGACAATATGAAAACTTGCAAAGATGATTTTTTTGGCAGCCAGCAACACAAGTGACTGGCAAGTGTCTCAAAACACAGATTTTATTCTACATCATTTGCTGGGAGAAAAAAATCTGCACCCATATTGCAAAAGTTTCAGGAAATTTAATAGAACTACTGAGGGTGATTATCCATACTTATGATCAAAGCTTGACATACCTAGTCACAATTTATGTTGGCTTTGCTATGGACTGATTCTGTGAAATGATTAGTGCATCTTGAAATACAGCAAATACCTTCCAATTGTCACAACCTCAAGTGTCTGGGACTTCATGCAAGCTGACAAACTATCCCTGAAGTCCTAGACAGCTGGCAGTGGTGGTGATGTGGTCAGCTCTGAACAGAGGCTGGGAAAGAGCCACATCAGAAGTCTAGTTGTACCTGTGTGAAAACTTGGAAGGCATTAACAGGATGGGCCAGGGTGGATGGCTGTTGGAAATGGTACCAGAGATAAATGCAAGCTTTGCTGTGAATGAAACCTCTGTAGCCTTTGGCATTAGTGGAAAATGAAATTAGAACAGAACAGGGGAAGGAAAACAGGGAGAGAAACAACCAAAGCAGAATATTGAAGCAATGAGGATATTTTCAATCAGGGAAGAAGGTGCCATAGAGGAGTATGTTTAAAAAGGAGACAATGTCTGGAAGTATCTGCATAGACCCTTGATCTTCTTTAGAAAGGATCACCTTTAGCTTTGGTCCTTAGGTGTGGATGAGAATCTCACTTAGCATAAGCCCATTGTTTGCTGAGGAGAACCAAAGCAAAACACTGCTTTTAGTCTTCTATTGCTGAGTAAGCTTCGTGTTGACCTGTGTGCAAAATCCTGTGCCTGGGGACAGCAGAAGTGTGAAGAAACATGCATGTTTCCAAGGGGGTTTATGAAATTAATGGGAGCTCCTTGCAGGAAGAAAACCTGTCTGATTACTCGTGGGTCTAATGGATCCATTATATAAAAAAATAGTTTTGTTTTCCCTCCCGTGAAGTACAAAATCTGTATTTGCTGTTGGGTAACTACAATCATAGCAACCATCACAACATGAAATCTGAGGAAGGGAGGAACCGTAACTTCAACAGAGCTACACTGGCATTACTGTAATAGGCACATGCTGTGTGTGGTATATACTCCATGTGTGCTTAAGACAAGGAAGTGATTAACAGAATGCTTGGAAACCAGTTATGATTACTTAACCTATATATTTTTTTCAAACTATGTGCTCTTTTGCACTCAGAAATGTCAAAACACGGAGTCAACTCAAGTTTCATTGTTCCAGGTTAAATGGAAGTTGCAGGTACCTCTGTGGAGTTGATTATCTAGTCTAGCAGGCAAAAATCCTGTTTCATTTTTTGTTTTCATCCTGACTGAAAGCCTGAGTCTTTGCCTTCTCTGCAGCAGGTAAGAGCTGTGTTACCAGGTACTGTAAGTCAAGCTCTTTTTCAGACTGTGTCCTGACAAACATCAACTGGCATGACAGATGGGGATGGTTCAGCTTACTTATTTCTTGAGCATAAGAAATATTCTCAGAGAGAGGGGCCTCTTGGGCTAGGTGATCCTGGGAGATGGGGATTCTGGTTCCATTTGGACATGACCTAAGAAAGTTTCTACCTTATTTATGCATCCTCTTGCATGTAGATTGGTGTTGAAGTCTTTGGGTCTATTTCCATGCACCCGTATCACAATGATTAAATAGTACTGAAGTCTGTTACAGATGTATTGCATATTTAATGTTTGCTAAGTGATTTAAATTCATTGCATTAGAAATGTTGACTTTTTGTCTTCACAAAAGATGTTCCAATCTTGTAGGTGACTCAAGCTGTGTCTATATAAGGGTTTTAGCATAAGTGGCAACCAGGGTTAGCTTTCTCTTTTCACTTTTGTTTTTGCATACCATATTGAAGCTCTTCTGCTTCTGGACACTGTTAATTCTGTGCTTATAAGTTATGCTATTTTAAGGTTTGGTTCAAATGCAAATCTGTTTTATTTTGCTTTTTTATGAAGTTTTCTAACTGCTCACACTCCGTATACTTTCATATCAGTGAGCTGAAGCATGTACACCAATGCCTGAGGGACAATTTTAAACTTGAAGTACAAATATAAATGCATCTGTTTGTCTTCATATAGTGGCAAGCTCACCCTCTCCAGTGTTCACTGAAAATACCAGATGCTTCTATGGATCTGTGTGATTACATCGAGAACTAATCTCTGTTTCCTCTGAGGAGTTTTATTTTCCTGTGGTCAGTATCCATCAGAAGCTGGCATGCTTCCTGGTTTATGTGCCAGGGTGCTGTAGTTTCAAGCTGTAGCAGCAGCATTACTGACCAATGCCTCAGTCAGAAACAGCTGCTGATAATACTCTCAGTTGATGATCCTTATAATAGCTGGATCAGGTTTTTATTGTCAAGACCACCAGAGGTTTTGCCAGCAGCAACACTGAGCAATTTCCTCATGACTTGCAATAAGGGAGGGATTTCTTTCTGAACCAAGTGCAAATGTAAGCACATAATCCATCTAACAGAGAATTCCTGTGGAAGGGCATGATCTCCATTATGCTGCGCGCTAACCAAGCCTCACCAGGGTGACTCAGCTCCAGCTATATTGTTCTAACTAGGTGGGGTTGTTCCTGAACGGTTTTAGATACTGCAGTACACTTACACATTTAGCCCATGGATTTAGGGAGTTTATCAGTGCATATAGGGTATCAGAATGGTTCATTTGGACAGCACAGGATCTGGTAGAACACTCTCACCAAGGAACTGAGACCCTGAGTGAGATTTACATGGTGAATTATAGTCTGATATTTAAGTACCATTGGACCTTTACTAACTTCCAGATGTGCAAAAAGTCATATGGATTCCTGCTGTTGAACTTTGATGCAGAGCCATCAGAGCAAATTCTGTGGTGTGCCTCAAGAATTTACAAACAAAACTTGTCACCAGCCTCTCTTGCTCATAAGATGTACTCATACATTCCCTGAACCCATTGGTCTGCTGGGTTGTGCTCAGTGCAGGGATTACAGATGTCATCATTTTCCCTCATATTCAAGAACCACGTGATTAGAGAATGCTCTTATTCATGAGGCTGAAGGAGAATCGTCTTGCTTGCTTTCCCTTGTTTCCTTTTAGAAGGGTAACTTGCTGGGAGCAACAGGGGTTCTTCAGGTCAGAATTGGGATAAAAGCTTTACTTTTAAAAGTCGGGCATTTCTGAAAAAAGGTCTAGATTGTGCCTGTCTGCTGCAAGAGAATCTGTGTATCCTGGAAGGCAAGGCTTGTATGTAGCTAGCAGTAACCAAGGGCTGGAGAAACAGATTATTCTTGTAACACCAGTGAGAGAAAGTACAGATAGCGCTTTAAATACTGCTGTAAACCCTCCTGACCTAGCAAGTGTAATATGCTAAATGATGTGATTTCCCACACTGTTCATGTTTGTCATTATTAGTGGCTGTTTGAGATGATTGATGAGAAATGACTTAGAGCTTCTCATAAACCATGTCCAGAAAGCGTGGATGCCGAACTTAGGCTGTATAGTTTTGTGTCTAGTTGAGATAACACTGACACGATCACTGTTCTTACATTGATAAAACCTGTGCTTTTGCTGAGGCAGTATGCTCATTCACCAGTTTTTAGCTGATCAGGGAAATTAAACCTGATTGCACTTCTGTCAAGAAGCCAGATGGATATCACTCTGATAAGGTCCCAGGCTTGTTTCTTATAGGATATTCTGAGGCACTTTACCTTGCTCTCTCTTTTTGGAACTATTAATTCAGCATGAAATACTTACTTTTGATTGGTCAGGGAGACAGCACA